GCTTCTAATTATTCTAATGGAAGCCAACCTCCACAGTAGGTAGGAAGGCCGAAAAAGGAAGATGGTATGGGGAAGTTCAGATGATTTCTAATAATCTGGTCATTCATTTAACAAATATTTGTAGAATATTTAGAATCCTTGCACTGAGCTAGACCAGGGGTATTAAAAACACAGCTCCTGTTTTTGTAAATAAAGTTTTATTTGAACACTGCCACGTTCCTTCGTTTACATGTTATCTGTGGCTGCTTTCGCACAAAAACATGAGGGTTGACTAGTTGCATGATGACGGTTGACTTGTTGGATTGACTAGCTGACTAGACTGCATGGCTCATAAGGCTTAAAATATTTACCATATGGCCCTTTGTAGAAAACATGTGCCAAGCCTTGAACTAGGCACGAGGGGTGGTATACTCAGAAAAGAAAGGGTACAGGGTACCTGACCTTAGGGGTTCATATTCTAAGGGGAAGCATGGAGCTAAAAAGTCTTCATAGATAAGTAGAAAAAACAAAATTATTAAAACTATAAAGTTAAAAGTACAGGAGGCTGAGGCAGGAGAATCGCTTGAACCTGGGAGGCGGAAGTTGCAATGAATCATGATCGTGCCACTGCACTCCAGCCTGGGTGACGGAACGAGACTCTGTCTCAAAAAAAAAAAAAAAAAATAGAAGATGGATGTTAGACAAAAAATTAGATAATAAGATCATTTCAGAGAGTGGTATGTTCTGACAGAAAATAAAACAGGATAATGAACCTAGGTGGTAACTGGGGAGGGGCCAAAGTGAGATAATTGGTTGGGGTTTCTGCACCCCAGGTGCTAAGTGCATTCTAAGAATGAACTCGCTTTATCTTGGGAACAACCCTCTGAGATAAGTTTGTCATTTCCATTTTAAAGAAAAAGAAACCAAAGCACAGAGATAAGTAATTTGTCCAAGATTTCACTAAGCTAGAAAGTCACGTAACTGGGCATTGAACCAGGGCGTCTGATTGGAGACCATTCTCTTATCCACCACTGAAGAATGAGCTATATTAATTTAGCACAGCACCTAGCACAGAGTAAGTGCTACATAAGTGGCCATTGTTGCTGTTGAAATTACAGATCTTCGACAGGCAGCAACATCTTTCTGTTTTTCTCCAGGGACCAAAGCGGATGTTGGATGCTCAAGTGCAAACAGACCCAGTATCCATCGGACCAGTTGGCAAATCCAAGTAAACACCACGGATCCCACCAGGTTCTCCTGCCAACAAGATGTGTTCTCCTTACTCCATCTCCTCCCCAAACACGTTTTATGTATATATTCTTCTGATGGCCAGCAAGCGAAATTCTGCCTAGAAATTAAGCCCGAGCTGTTGTATATTGAGGTGTATTATTTACGTCTCTGGTCCAGTCTTTTCTGGCAAATAACTGGAAAGATGGTTTAGCAGGTCACCTAGTTAGGTCGGAAGAGTCGATGATCACCAAGCAGGAAAGGGAGGGGACAGAGGAATGCATTAGGGTTAAGTGATGAAAATGGTGGTGGTGGCCAGGAGTGGTTGCTCGCGCCTGTAATCCCAGCACTTTGGGAGGCCGAGACAGGTGGATCACTTGAGGTCAGGAGTTCAAGACCAGCCTGTCCAACATTATGAAACCCCGTCTCTACTAAAAAGACAAAAATTAGCCAGATATGGTGGCACACACCTGTAATCCCAGCTACTCGGGAGGCTGAAGCATAAGAATCGCTTGTACCCGGGAGTTGGAGGTTGCAGTGAGCCAAGATTGTGCCACTGCACTCCAGCCTGGGCAACAGAGCAAGACTCTGTCTCAAAAAAAAAAAAAAAAAAAAAAAAAAAAAAAAAAATGGCAGTGGCAAGTAAGTTGTAGAAGAGAAATGCTGTGAGAAGGAATTAAGCATTGTAGCAAACACATGCTCATCCTCTAAGCTTGAAGAGGGGAGATGAAAATCCGTTTGTTTAAATTCACATCTCAAGGAGGGAGAACCCAGGCGTGCTGGGCGGTTGCCAGTTTCCTAGAATGGAATGTGTGGGGTATGAAAAATGAATGGATAAGCGTTGTTTTTCACAGGGTCCTTGTAAGTTATTGATGAGAGGGAAAAGATTGACTGGGGAGGGCTTAAAATGATTTGGGAAAACAATTGCTTTTGAGGCCCAACGTCAAGGGCAAAGACTACAACTTAAAAAAACAAATAAAAAAAAAAAACAAATAAAATTGCACGGTTATTTTGCAACACAAGGGGGCAGCAAGGTCCCCATTTTTATCCTGTATTCTGTATCCCTAACAAAGATGTGGTCTCTGCTATCTTACATTATTAATGTTTCTCAGATGGCTGAGGGGCTCGCTTCATCTGTTCTGTCTGACACTCATCTCAAGTGTGTCTGTCATTCCTAATGTTCTCAGGATGTGCTCTGATAAAACCCTCCCTATAACCTCAGTTAATAAAAATTTACAGAAGATTTATTCAAATACCTGAGTTGTTTTTAATACCTGTACAAAGAAGTAAATAGGATCCTGAGTCTATTAAAATGTAATTCAAAGTAGCATATGATTGACTGACAGTCATGTAAACTGTATCTTTCTCTGATTTAATAAACAGTACATTTACTTCTAAAGTATCTTTTAATTTCCAATTTTCAAAGCAGTCCCACTGCATATCCGAGATGTTCTACCTTCTACAGTAGAAAATCCATACTATTCCTCCATTTTCTTTTTTGGAAGATAATTCTCTCCCAGATCCTCCCCAATTTCCTTGTATATGGGCACACACACACAAATGTGTGCACATGTTTGCAGGTACACACACATGCATGTATAGAAAAGGGCTGTCTTGCCGCTATGGTGGCTCACACCTGTAATCCCAGCATTTTGGGGGGCCAAGGCAGGCAGATCACAAGGTCAGGAGTTGGAGAGCAGCCTGACCAACATGGTGAAACCCCATCTCTACTAAAAATACAAAAATTAGCCAGGTGTGGTGGTGCATGCCTGTAATCCCAGCTACTCAGGAGGCTGAGGCAGGAGAATCACTTGAACCCAGGAGGCGGAGGTTGAAGTGAGCTGAGATCAGGCCACTGCACTCCAGCCTGGACAACAGAGCGAGACTCCGTCTCAAAAAAAAACAAATAAAAGCGCTGTCTTAGGCCAGGTTGCCTGGAGCAGAGCCTGAGATGGGGATTTGGACGCATAGGATATACTGGGAGTGGGCTCCCAGGGAAAGGGGTAATAGAAAAAGAAGAGGGCAAGAAAGGAGTTGGGCAAGGTTGGTTTCAGCTGGAACATGAATTGCACCACCCAGATAGTTTGACCTTGAGGCAAGGGGGCCAGCCTTTGAACCCCTGTAGGTGAGTTCTGGGCTGCCCTGGGAGGTGGGAGGATGAGCAGGCTGCCCCCCTTGAGCTGCGAAGCTGGTTGCCTAAGTAACTGGAGGATGAGTGCATTGACAGTGTCCACTACAGACACAGGCATATATGTTCAGATATGTATTTATACCCATATTCACATACATGTGCACATACTCATGTGTATGAATATATATCATGCAGGAATAGATCCATGCACTCACACAGTCATACTTACATGCAAATAAACACATGTAACTAACACAGATCCACACATACACATTGGCTGAAACAAATCTATCTCTTAAGCAATTCATCACACATTGATCGGAAGTAAATATTGAATACACTCTCCTGATGTGGACCTATACTATAAGGACAAGTTTGCTGCTTATGCAAATTACACCATGGCTTTGGCAAATAGGCATTTGGAAAATGTGTTCAGAAAAATACAGTATCACTCAAAACCCCGATGTAAGTGAGGACAGGATCCCGTGCTGCTGGGGTCTGTGAGCTCCCAGTTCGGACTGGCTGAAGTCGTGTTTCAAATAAAGACCAGAGGTCTCTTCCTTGCAGCTGGCTTAGCATCTTCAAACCTCCTTACCATACCTCCAGAGTACTCACACCTGTGCCTCACCCAGTTGAGAACTATCTCATGCCACTTGGTATCAGAATGCTTAACTTGGAACAAAGCAGGAACACAGCACTTGGGGAAGCCTGTGATGGGAGGGTCCATCCTTGCCACGGGATGAGTCAAGGAAACCAGGCAGCTGCCATTCCTTTGTCTCCAAACACCAGGAGCTCCTGGGCTGCAGTCCATTGAGGAAGGTGATGGTATCATTTACAAGTTTCACCCCGCTGAGTACGGAGGCTTTTCGCCCAGATAAGAAATGCCCCTAGGCAGGAGTGAGAGAAGCAGACTGAGTAGCCAAGGCCAGTTCCTTAGCCAGTTACTAAGGCAGATGGAGCCCTCCCAAGCCCCCCACTCAAACAAAACAAAACAAAACAAAACAAAAAACGTTCTTTGCTGAGAATCTCTCTACAAAGTGTGCCAACAGTTTTTATAACTGATTTCTTCTTCTGGGCCAAAAAAGAGAATCGTCTTTTAATGGAATTGCTTTTATTTTTAAAGCAAGAAAGGCCAAAGAGAAGTAAAGCAAATGACTTATTGGGAGAACTCTAAATTCAGTTATAGCTTAAGAAACAAATTCACACTCTATTTTTTTTTCTGTGTGTGCGTTTGTGTTATTGTTGTTGTTGTGTTGAGATCCCATTCCCGATGCGTTTACAATAAATACTAATGTGCACCCCTTATGCTGAACTAGAGTGAAAAAGAGCAGAAACTCACCAGTGAACCCAAGAAAGCCTTTAGGACACAGATTCCCAGAAATGCCACTCAGAACAAGCAGTGGGGGACATAAGCAAAGCAAAAGTGGCACAGAAAAAATATTATCAAAAGGGAAAGAAGAATTCAGACCTGTGGGAGGGAGCAAAATGCCTTTATTATTATTTATTTACTTATTATTTATTTTTAGGTACGCAGGGAAGTATGTCTTCTCCCATGTCAAGAAGAATTGGCCTTTCCAGGAATGGAGCTATTGAGCTGAAATGGCTGCCACTGCGCGCGCGCACACACACACACACACACACACACACACACACACACACACCCCTCTCCCTTCCAGTTCCAGCTGACGGGTGACTTTCTGACTGGTATCCATAAAAGAATTCATTCAAAGCAGTTGTTCCCAGCAGCCCGTGTGGTCCTTCCTGAATTCATCGTCTTGGGGAAGGAGGCACATACCAAAATAGAAGCAAAAATGGGAAGAAAAAGAGGAAGTGTAATTCCTATGTTTCTGTTGTATGAATCCCCTTGCTTTTTAGACAAATTATCGGGGCTTTAAACACACACTCTCTCTCCTTCCTCTTCCCTCCTCCCTCCTCCCACTTCACACACGCACGAACACACACACACACACACACACACACACACACACACACTCTAGATTGTTCTTGTTTGTTTGCAAACAGTCCAGAAGCACTGAGGTCTCATTAAATTAGATTCCAAGTGTCTTTTAAAAAAAAATTAGATTTCAAGAAATCGAGAATCCGTATCCTTCCCCTTCTCAAAGCGCCTGGAAGGGCACAGATTTCTCCAATACGAATCTGACAATGTTATTTCTTATGTCAGATGATCCCAAGTAGATCTTATACCTTAAAAAAATAAAATCAGCTACACTACCTACCTTAAAGGGAAGGGAAAAAAACTGATTCCAGGTATTAACCAACCCAAGGTACAAACACAGGGGAAACTGGGGGATGTGCTCTGCAGCAATGTCAGATTACAGGCGCTGGTTTTAACCATCCTTTGAATGTCCCTCTTTAAGCCTTTTTAAAAGGCAATTTTGCACAGCGAGTAGAATTAGGCTTCTCCGTGGTCAAGATTTTGTTCACTCTATCAGTGCAAATGAAGTGGCCCCGGCCCGCTGGAAATTACAGTCTCCATTAGGAAGAAAAGAAATTACTTACCGAGCAGCAAATTCTCTAAATTTGTAATTCAGATCTTTAGCGCAGAATGCTGGTCAGGATCCAGCCCTTTGCATAAATTGGTTTTCTGGGGAGTTTAACCCCTTAGCCTCTGTTGCCCTTCTCTGGAAAGACATCCCCGCGACCCTCTCCATCTCCTGGCCCTTTAACTTGCCCCAGCAGAAGTTGCAGTCCACAATTTCACCGAAGTAGGGATAATCCATTATCCCACATTACCGTTTATAAAGTGCTCTGGGTACAATCTGTAATTTCAAGCTGTATTTCCCTCACTGAACTTAAGTGCTTCCTTTGTTACATTTCATTACCGGGGACTGACATGCACCTGTATAGATTTTTTTTTTTTTTTTTTTTTTGCCATTTTTTGTTTTGTTTTGTTTTTCCAAATGAGCCACTTCTTGACAAAATGGCCCCCAGCTGCACATCTGCTAATGACAGCCGCGGAAGGGCTGGTTTCTTACTCGATCTCCTCTCTCGGAAGCATGTTTTTGTCAAAATGCAGCCACGTGGGGGAGCTGCAGGACCTGGGGTTCTACAATACCCAGTCCTTTTTCCCTGCTTGCCTAACCAGGAAACTGGGCCACAGCAGCCTGACGATGTATTTGATTAACTTCTAGAAAGCAGTCAAGCTTAATGAGGAGAACTAGATGGAGAAAGCTGAACTGGGCAAGTCAGTTGCCTTCTACTATTCTCAGCCCTCCAAACAAAGATAAGGTTGGTTGGATTGTATTTCCATTCTTATCTGCTCCATCTTGGAAGAAGCTCAAGGAAGGCTGTGTGATTGCCAAACGTTTAGGTTGGTGTCGTTGGCAATGCATTTAAATAACCCTTACTGGCCCATCCTGCTCCACGGAGCAGCCTTAACTCTCATCCTCTCCACTCCCAACTAGAGAGCAAGTGACTTCAACTCTGAATGTCCTCCTTCAACAATCGATTAGTAATAGAGCCTACGTGTGGGGTTGCTGCCAACATGCAGTGAGATGGTGCACACCAAACATTCAGTCCAGTGGCTGGCACGTTGTAAGCACTTAGTAAATGCAGGCTATTTTATCATGGGGGACTTTTAGCACCAAGTAACAGAAAGCCCCCACCTGAATTGGCAGATAATCGTCATCATAAGGGTGTTTATGATTCCGTGTCATTGGTGTTCTATAACATCTTTGGCTTTGATTCTCTGAGACTGTGTCCCAGCTAACGACGATAATAAGGAAATGTATCGTTTCCTGTAACTGGTGTCCAGTCTCACAGCCTGGCTCTGATTCTCTGACACTCTGTTCTGCCATGTTCCATGGGTCGACTTCATCCTAAAACTGTTCCAAAGGATGGCTGCAGTTCCAGGCCAAGGGATGATGAGAATACCATAATCAGTTTTCATGGCTCATTTTGGTGAAATCGTTAGTGAGAAGGCAATACGCCGATGCAGTCGACAGAAAACAATGATGAGATCAGTGGTTTGAAGGCTAACCTTTCCCCAAACTAATTATGCCCCTTCAGTTTAGATCCATGGGATTTGTGTCATGACAGTCCTCACCTTCCAAAGCAGGGCCACTAGACTGTGAACTTATCAAGATCTGGGCCTTCTTGTCTTGCTCAATCATCGTTCTATTGTTGGTGTCTAGCACAATGCCTGGACCTGGGAGGTACTCAACAAATAATGGTTGAAAGGTTAAATTGATAAACAAATATTCTGTGGCCACACCCGTGATGGATCGCCTTATCCTCTAGCGTGAGTTTGTTTTAGCTCCGAATACCTGATCATGCTAACCAGACATCCACTCTTCCCAGGTGATCAGCCCAGTGGTTCTAAAAGTACAGTCCCAGGACCAGCAGGCTCAGCGTCACCTGAGAACCTATTAGGAATGCAAACTCTCAAGCCCCACTTTGTGCCCGCAGAATCAAAAACTCTTGGGGTGGGACCCAGTAACCTGTGGTTTAGCAACCCCTCAGGTGGTTCCAAAGAAGGAGAAAATTGGAAAACCATTGGTCTAGGTAGAGCTACCACTTCACAGAATATCAACAGGGTGTTTGGTCCAAAGCTGGCCCTGAAGATGCATGGATAATAAGAGCTAACATTGGACCTCACTAGATGCCAGGTATTGTGTGTCACATCACTTAACCTTGACAGATGAGGAAACTAAGGCTCAGAGAGAAAAAAAAAACTTAGCCCAAGAACACAGATGGCAGAGCCAAGGTTGAAATCCATCCTAAGCACACAAAGGCTTGCTTTCATGTCTGTGGGAGAGACAGGCAGGCAGAAGACAATAATATAACATAAGAGAAGCAAACGCAGGATGTTGTGGGACTCAGGGGAAGGCACTGGTGCAAGACCACAGGGGGTAGAGGTCGGCCACTTTGGGGAGGTGACAGCTAACTCACAAAGAATGAATAAGCGTTGGACAAAAGGGCTCCCAGAAGAACAGCAAGTACAAAAGCCTGGAGTCCACAGAGAGAATGGCAGGTAGCTTAGCATGGCTGAAGGGAGACTGTGGGGAGAATGGATAAGAAGATGGAAGCTGGGGACGCACCAGGGACCATCAGGGACTTGGAGTAAAGAGTCCATAGTAGGAAGTTTAAATTGTCTCTTGAGGGCAATGGGGAGCCATGGAAGATATTTGAGCTGGAGGGTGACATAGGTTTATATTTTGGCTGCAGGGAGGATCTAATACTCTAATACCAAAGCAATTCAACTCATATTTACTGGGTGGCCTGAGCTGTCTTTTAGATATTTATTATACTGTGTCATCATTTTTATTAAGCTTCTTTGAAAATTGTAAGAAAGAGAGAAAACCTCTAAATGGCTTTGACACTTAAAAGGACACTTAAATGATTATTTTTCTTTTTCTTTTTTTTCTTTTCTTTTCTTTTTTTTTTTTTTTTTTTGCGATATAGTCTCACTTTGTCACCCAGTGCAGTGTCACTGAAGTGTCACTGAAGTGCAGTGGCAGGATCTCGGCTCACAGCAATCTCCGCCTCACGGGTTCAAGCGATTCCCCTGTCTCAGCCTCCTGAGTAGCTGGGACTACAGGTGCGTGCCACCACGCCTGGCTAAATTTTTTTGTATTTTTAGTAGAGACGGGGTTTCTTCGTGTTAACCAGGATGGTTTCGATCTCCTAACCTCGAGATCCACCCGCCTCGGCCTCCCAAAATGCTGGGATTACAGGTGTGATCCACCGCGCCCAGCCTGAAATGGTAATTTCCAAGTGTTGTAAACGTGAACTTAGAATTTGGCCTCGTCTTTCACCCAGATGATTCACACCCATGATCCAAGGCCGTCTTGAGCAAATTACTTTTTCTCAGAGCCTTAGTTTCTCTGTGGAATGGGAATGCCAACAGCACTTGTCTCAGAAAATTGCTGAGAATAAACGAGACACGTATTTATGGCACGTAGGCGCGGTGTCTGGCAGGTGAAGAGTGCTGGGTTAGCTTACTGATGAGGACGCAGATGACCTCGGCCTGAGATAGAACATCTGTGTTCACTTTCACGGACTCAAGGCCACCCAGCCTTTGGGACATCCTTAAATTTTGTCCCAGCTTCTCCTCATCCTCATAAGCAGTTGGCTGGCTGGCTTATCTAAAAAAAGGAAAGGAAGGAGGAGAGAGAGCAAAGAAAAATGTTCATTTTCCCGGCTGTTCATCCCATTTTAAAGTCAGGTCCACCCTTGGCTGTCCTTGGCCGCATGGTGGCATCTACCTATAACGTTGGCCAGGTCGCCATGGAAGCAGGTGCTGTGTCTGCCTTGCCCCATCGTCTTCAGCCCACCTGAGTTTACCTGCATCACTGACAGCTTCCCACCCAGAACTCCTGGTTCTTTGCTTTTCCTCTCGGTGGCTTTCTCCAGGGGCTGTAGGGGCTTATTTAGCCCACCTGCAGGGAATTTTGAAAAACCTGAAATTTTATGTCCCCAAGGGCAACCCTCAATCAATGACAGATGAGAGATGGCAGGCAAACATCTCAGCTGCCCCATCTCTCAGTGGGACATTGCTGAGGGGTCGTCTTCATGTTCTCTCAAGGGTCCTCAGCAAGACCGAGCCACCGTCACCCACAGCAGTAACATACTTGTGAGCACACCGCCACACACACATTTGTGCTTCCTGGGGTCACTTCCCAAATAAACTACTGGCACCCAAATTCTTGTCTCAGGGTCTGCGTCTTAGGTTAAAAACATCTGTGTCTTCGGGTTTTCTCGGGAGCATCTACCCCATGACGAGTAGCTGAATAGAAGGACATTAATATGGGCACTAGTTTAAAGGTTTTGGAAGAGTTTCAGAGACAAACATAGGGCATGAGGCCCACCCAGAGATTAGAAATAGAAGAAACAGAACTGCCACTAGAGACAGACAGCCAAAGGGAAGAGGCGATGTCACTGGAGCCAGGGAACTGGGCAACCTGTGGGACGTAGAACCCCATATGGACTGGCACGAGGCTGCTTGCGGGTAGCGGGAACCAGGTGGGGGCTGTGTGAAGCAGTACCTTTTTGCTGACTGGAGGGAGGAGGCAGGAAAAATAGGTGTCAGTGCCTCCCACTGGCTCAACCTAACCAGAAGCCAGTTGGCAATGGAACCTGGGAAATGCAGTTTGAAGAGAAGCTTGGAAAAAAGAGTAAACAGACAAACACCTAGCAGAGTTGGAGGTTCTACTTTAAGAGGAGAAAAATGGGGAGGGGAGAGAAGGAGGGGGGAGGGGAGGGGAGAAGGGGAGGAGAGGGGAGGGGAGGGGAGGGGAGGGGAGGGGAGGGGAGGGAAGGGAAGGGAAGGGAAGGGAAGGGAAGGGAAGGGAAGGGAAG